TCACCATTTTCTGGCGTACAATTTCAGTAAAATAAATGGTAAAAGTATAATAATGAAATAAATGGATAGATTTATAGGTTTCCAGACACGACATTTGCAATACTCATCCCGTTAGTGTAGTTCCCCGGTGTGCCAAATGGAACAACAGTTCGGCCAAGTGTTGTTTCGCGTGGGGAAACACTTAACTCGTCACAGGTAACTTAAACTATTTGTTCTCCAAAGGCACATACATTCCTGTATTATTATTAACGGTTACGTAATAATCATGTTGTAGCTTTAAGGCATTTATCGCTTCAGTCGTTGAAAAAGTCCTAAAAAGCGAAGCAATAGAGTTTCAAAAATGTACATGTCATTATTTTTCGCCACGCGCTACCAAGCCGGAATTCGCCTAACTCGACCTACACAACAAACACCTAAAGCGAAAATTCCAGTACATTTCGAATCCTCTGATTTCATTGGGCAATTATTCCCCACTTCCAATTGTAATCTCTACTTTACTTACTCGCGCGTATTCGCACGTCAGCAAGATTCGTGAGACCTTCGTAATGAGTGGATGTTGCTGCACGCCGCGTAAAAAAGCTTTGCATTCACGCAACTTGAAGTCGTGTTTAAGACAACTGTGAAAATTGCACAACTGTGCATGTTGTTTTTATAGTTTACGTCTTACAGTGCGCTAGACGCCAAATTATATAAACCAGCCTGTCAATCTGTTAACTGGCGTAACGAGTTCCAAACTGTGAACTGTGTGTTCGTCACTGCCGGATGTAACATCGACCTCAGTGTCCGTGTTCTATCTAGCTTGCGTCTCGCAAGGTTGCATATGCAAAACCTATTCAACTGTGCTGATAATCTCTCAGTGTAGAACGTCCTGTCCCGGGTAACTGCATGTGCACATACCCTAGGAGTCTGCGCAGAGATGGACAAGGACGCTGGTAACTTGCAGACTCTGCAACACTGCACGCTCACCTTTGGAGTAAAGAATTCGTCTGTGGGACCGTCTCGGAGAGGTGTTATTGTGTTTTCCTTGCAGAAACCGTCATGCAACAATTGAGGCGTTCAGTGAGAGAGGAAGCTAACCCTAAAGGGTCTGGAATTGAGATAAATCGACTTTTGCCTTTGGTTTGTATTATCAATTATTTGTATAAAAAGGGGATGTGTATTCCTTGTTATCTTCAAAATATCAAACTTGTTTGTTTGGGAAAAAATGATTAGGAAATTCTAGAAGTATGTCACAGATGATACACAGCTCTACATGTAAGATTGTTTCATCAATCTATCGATTGATTTTTGTGATTATCCCAACATTATGTAAATTTGACTGTAATTTTTCTTGTATTGACACCACTAAGATATCCGTTTCGTATGTTGCAAAGTTCTTGACTTTGAAAATGTAAAAAAAAAATATTGCGTGTTTTTCATCGCCCGTTTGCTTGTGGAATTTGCAATTGAAGTTAGACGCATCAAAGCGTAATGTGCATTCAGATGCAAGGCGTTGTTTGTTCTTTGGTACCTATTTCCCTGTCATGTCACTAACATTCTTCTTCACTGTTTCTATTTCTACTAGTTTCTTGCCTTGTACATTTCGTTGCATCATGAGAGCGTTTTTGCCACTTTTCTCAGAGTTGTCTAATACACATGGACCCATTGATATTTTGTTTTCGGGCACGTCAACTATTATAATTACTCCCATAAGTGTAGTGCGTGTTATATCCTGGGTGATCTCCCCCGCTCGAACGTGAAATTAACTCAGATCTACACGTCGGCTTGTGAGGTTTCCCCTTCGAGGTATCTCCGCTAGTGGAGCACCGTCCGAGCCGAGATAACCGCCTCCGAGCTACTGTCTCGTCTCCCCATGTAAGTAGTTACGCTTGTGCCTGTGCGCGCGCGCGTGCGTGTGTGTGAAGCAACGGGAAACTACTGATCAGACGAGCCGGCTACTAGAATTCTCCTCCAGTCAGCGGTTGAAATGACAAAGCTATCTAGGTAGTGTCGGGTCTCGAACTTTGAACTTTTCTGCCAGAGACACTGCAGTGAGAGTAGTTGTTGCCCTGAGCTATCTCAGCCGGTTATGACGATCCTTGTTTTCTAATGAGCAGCTTTCATTCTTCATTGGGTTACTAGTCGGTAGTCTTGCAAAACAAGGAATACTGAAAGTTCATGAAACTGATACGTTAAATCGGTGCTGAACATCAATTAATGTCTAATATTTCTATATTTATATTGCAAAGCCTTTTCTTAGAATGTTATTTATAAAATTCTTTTGGTGGGGTGAATATGGAATGTAACAAAAACATTTGATGTTATGGTGCTAGTGTTGGTATTATCAATTACGTGGATTTAGCTTAGATCCATCTAATGGATTATGATATACTATTTTTGACATTTACGGGCTAAATAAACGATGAAAAAACGATATAGAATATGACAAAAAGTCGTTTTTTTGTATTTGAGGGTTAACTCCCTCTCTCACTAGACCCCTCAATTGTATATAAAAGTTCTTTCATCTTAATCTCGTATTTGTGTGTATATGTTGTACAATAGGTTTCCGCATTCAATATTCCATTACAATCTGTCCTATTGATCTATCTTAACGTTTTTAGGTAGTGTGTGCAATTCTACTTTTCCATATAGTCAACTCTTATATTATCGATAGCTCTACGGTCAAAAAAGTCTTTCTGGAATTTTGGAAGACGTTTAAAGAAACGAAAAAAACAATACTTCGTAACGTGTTTTGACAACTTGCATATTATGTTAACCTGCTTTACAGCATGGCAGTCTTCACGAACCAGTGATTGAGGGACAAATCAAAGTTCCCATAATCTCAAAATAAATTGATGTAATAATGTATTGAATTGGAATCTATGTACTAGTACACTAGATATTTTAAGTAATGTATATATGTGCTCTATTTTTATACTAAATATTCTACTGTATGATTGCATATTCATTTAATTACTTTTTCCTTGCTTTTGTTTCTCATGATTGAAACCTTGTAATTTCTTTCCAGAGGGAGAGAAAAATTAGTTGTGATTAACTCACACAACGCTTCCCTATTGGACGTTGCGAAATATATGAACTCTCTTCATGAAAGACCGAAATTATTTATCATCCACGAGTGTTCGCATGTGAGAAATAATAAGTTTTGATTAGTAAAAATTTCACACACGTGATGCATACACGCTTGTCAAGATACTCGTGTGAAATATTACGAGTCCTTAATTGGATTGAATAAATCATAGTAGCACGTACCAATGAAGTGATTTCAATTTAGAATTTGATTTAGATTTCTCCTGCGCAGGAGGACAGAATGATTTAAAGAGGGGCCGGCCGTCGGGGGCGGGGCGGGGGCGGGGCTATTCAGGGGCGCAGAAGGCAGGCCGCGAGGGCGGAAGGGGTGGCCGGTGCGAACGCGCGGCACGGGGAGGGGAGGGGAGGGGCGCTGGGCAGGGGGTGTGATTAATCGAAGTGCAGAGGGCTGTTTAGGCGGTATCATATGTTACAAAACTGGCTGCATCGCTGCGCACCAGCGAATCCATCGGGTTGCGTCCGGCGGCGCTGGGCGCCGGAAACGCGCTTGTTGCTACCCCTCAATAGCCCCCCGCCCCCGCCGCGGACGATCCACCTGCATTTGTCAGTGCTCTCGTTCGTTCGCTTTTCATTTGTTTATTTGCGTGTTCTTTGCTCGTCGTTCCCTCGCTTATTCGCTCGCTCATTTAAACATCCGTCCACTAGCAACTATCCCTATTGTAACGAGTCAAGATGCCAAGGATATTTAACATCAAGAAGTCGTTTATGGGCGCGATCTGCTTGGACTGCAATGCAAGTGGGTAAGGTCGGACACTCTGGAGTCGGACAACATACGCCGAAATATGAAAATTAACTACTAGAACGAAGGTAGACGTCTCAGTGAATGGACAGTGTTGGTATGTGGGCGGAAAGTTTTATGTAGAAAAAGATGGAATGTATGTTAAAACTTGGAGAAAAATCAAAATCTTTAAGTTTTGTCAAAGAATGTATGTTTTGGGACGTGAAAGATATTTTGAAGGTCTCGAAATGTAGACAACGTTTAAACGTTTTCTGAATTTGAGAAAGTAGGTCTATGTTTGGGGGCGTAGACGGACTGTGGATATATTCAAGAAACTATTTAAACTGGGCTTGTTTTTCTTTCCAGTTGTCAATTGTGTTGTTTTTACGTTTATATTCATTGTTGTTACTTTTGTTAATAAATGTTTCTTTTTTAATTTTGAAATTAGAAATGTGTTTTTACATTGAACAAAACTGTATGTTGCCATTATTTAAACCTACGGAGACCCGCTTCTTGCTACTCCTCCCCCTCCATTTGCCAGTGCACTCTTTCTTGCCCTTTTCATTTGTTTATTTGCTCGTTCCCTTTGCTTATTATCTCACTCTTTTAAACCTCCACCTTTTATCGCATTTTCCTTACCTTTCATGGCTCGTTATCTCTGAACGCCTCTTCACTTCTCTGGCCCATCGCCGCTCGTCCGCTGTCTCACTGAAAGCTTTATGATCTTGCATTGCTTCTCTGGCAAAAACAGCGTATTAGGGCATATTTAATTCGCATTCTGATCATAAAGGGGTCTTCTCAGTCATTTACCATATTACATTATTTGCCTTGCCTATTAAATACTTTAATTTAATTTTTTTTCTGATACGTCATTTCTCGTTATTGCATTCAACATAGAGCTTGATACACACTGAATAACTTACCTGGATCGAGAGGAGCGTGGCTTCGAGGGAAATATGAAAACAGTTGAATGATGCTACATGTTCTCTTGTGCAGGGATTACGAGAGGGAATTATTGGAGGGAAATGATTAGAGACAAACGGGAAAACAGCTCTCGGGCTTTTTTCTCGCCGCTGCATCAGTAAATACCTTATAAACGACCTTGGTGCGTAAATAACTTTTATAATTTTGCTTTCTGATAATCAAATGCGTCTTTTGTTCTCATATACCATGCGCATAAAAATAACAGAATCTGAAGTTAAAAACTTTTTATTTGAATTATACTATATCTTTACACTTGAACATAAATGTGGTTTTCCTCGAAAATATCTCACATATACACAAAATATAATATTTTTATTTCTACACATTAAACTAATTACAAGACGTAATAATAAACTGAATATTTATTTGTAGAACAATGCTCTTTAATTTAAATATTCGGAAATTTCGTTGATCCAAAGCTTTCTCAACGGAATAAAAATAGTATCGGATCGCAGGTTACCATAATTTAAATTTAATGATTTCTTAGATATTATCATCTTGCGTATTTGGACATATACTTTTCTCACATGCAAAAGGTGCTTTTCCTTCGCAGTTGAAATCTACATTGGTGAGGTCGTCGTACAATTGCATGCAGTTTTGCCTTCTGTTATTGATTTCAGGCTGATTTCTTGCCCACCGGAAATAAGTATCGTTGAATTCGCTTCCTGAAAAATTAAAAACATATATTTAAATAATATATAAAACAGTACTGGTATCATTAAGATAATTGTTGTGGGTTTCAAAAAAATCAAAATTAAATATAGCTTATTAATCAAATAATGACGAAAATTTTTTTTCACGTAAGCGTTTTTTGACATTTTAAAGCGAGTTGAACGAATTATTTCTGAAACGTAAATTTCTTTCGATCAACATTTTATCCGCGCACATATTCTAGAGCTCCATTATTTATATTCCAAAACTTTACCGACATTATTTTAAACTAGAGTCGCTGCAGCAAAAATACTGCGTGAAAAAGGACGATGATAGATAAAAGATTTGTATTTTCTCCAGTTGCTGCGTTTTTAATTAAACCCTAGACACCTCTACATCGTCAGCAGGCTGCTTAGTTATATTTCGACATTTCTGCGCGCATTCGAAATTAATAATAAAGATAGGACTCAAATGAAGCAAAGAACGTTTTGAAGAATATTTAATAAAAATATTGCTTTGATTTCGTGTAATGGAAGCAATATTCAATAAACGATGATATTTCAATTGAGATGAGAATGAGAAAAATACAGATGAGATATAATAGTACTTGCTTGCAGCAAAATTGTGACCCAAGAAAAAGTGCGCGGTTTACATTATTGTTAAGGTAATTAATTAAAATTGGCACTTATATCTCGATTTCAAGTGATAGTAAAAAGTTACAGTGAAGTGATAATAGAACAAAAAGAAAGGGCCAGTGCGGGGAGAACAGGAAACAGACTAAAATATATTTTGTGTTTTAATTTAAGCTTATCTCAGTGGATAGGAAAGAACCTAAATATTTTAAGAAATTATTAGAACTTTGCTTTAAGATAGAACACATATATAGTAAAAAAATAAGGCGACCAGCATTATATTAAAAATTATTTCACCAAGTTGAAAAAGAATGGCGAGGGGAGTGCGGGACACCCCTCCCATCAGCGTAGATGGGGATAGCCGAGAGCAGATGGACACGCACCGTCCTCGGTGCGCCAGTGGCCCTCGCGGCGCGCGTCGGAGGCGCCCACGTGCAAGTGCGACGGGTTGGCCGGGAAGGCGGTGGCGCGCATCAGGAAGACGAGCGCCAGCGCCTCCAGCTCGTCATTGGTCACCGCCAGGTGCGCCCCGTCGCCCGCGCACCGCGCGCGCGCCAACGCCCACGGCGCCGGCGACGCGAAGAACTTGTAGCGGCTGCGCGTGCCCGGCAGGCGCACGTAGCCCGCGCCGTCCTCCATGTCGCTCGCGCAGCGCGCTGCAACACACACACCACGCACGCGCTGCGACGCCGGCCCCGCGCACGCCTCCAGGCCTACACACTGCCTCGCGGTCACGGACTACGCGTGGTTAGACATCCCCGCGCCGCACTCCGGTCCTCTCAACCTCACACGTCAATTTTCTCATCGTCACACGGCAACATATTGCAAGCAAAATGCACACTGTATTCTTGGCTCGACCGGCATTCAAACCCGGGGCCACATGATGGAAAGCGAGCAGGATGACCAACAACTAACCACGAGCCTTTCCTTTTTTACCTTTCTTAATTTCGAAAAAGTGGTTTCAATATTTAACAATGTTAGAATTATTTAATGATTTAATTAATGAGATTTTATATTATCTATATACCCTACAAAAGAAAATACAATATATTAACAAATATTTTTATTATTTAACAAAAACTTATGACCTCTCCCCCAAACGGTCGTCTAAATCTGCCCCTGTCTGATAGGGTGGTCCTATGGTTCTAGTATTGACGGTGCAGGATTTCCGATGCTAGATTCATAGCTAGATCGAATTCAACCTCTGACTGCACGACTGCTGAGATCAGTAATTTTCGGTGGGTTCTTGAATCAACACCAAGCGAATGCCGGAGCATTATCCTAACGATAGGCCACTAACAGCACGCGATCTTTCCTTCCTCTTCTTTGTCTTCACCACTTAAATGCATTACACTACCACACATGCTGGGAGACTAGTCGGGAGCAAAGAGATTTTCCCGGCTGGGGCGGTGCCCCACTGGTGGGAGATAACTGGTTGAAGAAAACCCGGCTTGCTGACCCCAGGTCTCGCCATTCAGCTAGGGAAGATCACCGCCTCCTTCCGTGATAAACTCATGCACTGCTTTTACGTTATCATTGACCTTAAGTGGTGACGCGCCCAGAATTACTGATGAACAGTCAATCAATCAATCAATCAAACAGTATGCAACATCCTTGCAATTTGGGTTTCTTTTGGTTGCCCAGTATTATTCAAATCAGCTTTATCAGATGAGATCAGATGTTGGAGTACGTTATAATAAAATTTATGAATTTACAAGGAAATTCGGATTTGCAGAACAATATTTATAGTATTATTCAGAGCAAATAAACAGTGAAAATGAATTGAAACTGTCGTAAATTCAGCTTTACTGGTTATCACATACTCAAAGGCAGAAATGTAAAGCCAGAAACAACTATATAAATAGGCAAATAAAGAAATTTAAAAATTATTGTTTACTACCAATTACTGATTTTTTGTTTGCTAGGAAAAAAACCAATATTACGAATGATCTCAACTTTTCTAATCTTACAATATCCTTCCTTGTGAACAACGTAATTCTACTTTTCTAAAAAATGCTGCCTTTCAAGTGGAATAATTGCTGTAAATGTCCAAAATTGCAATATATACATGTGAATTGTTTAAAAAATGCCTTTTTTATTGTTATTCAAATGTAAACATATTATGCGATAAAGAACCGTGTTGTAATTTTTAAAAAAGTGAAAGATAATCTGTAAGATTGACTATATATTGTAAAGTTGAAACCAATTATTATGGAGATACATCTAAAAGTAAAAGCTAATGCCAGTTAAAGGGTTAAAAGTGTCATTCTCTCACAGTCAGTAGCGATATCCTCTGCACTTTTGGAAGCGTTGAATGTTAAATTTGCATACAAAATTCTGTGATAATTTTTTGAGTACACATGTCTCAATGAGAATGTCTGAACAAAATGTATCCACTTTTTCGGTACCAGGACCCTGTAATGAGAGTTTTTCTGCCCAAAATTCGCTGTTTTCCCTCTGAGTATTGAATAACTTGCTGTCTGCTCCGTAGCAAGAAAGTAAAAAGGTACATTTATACAAGCTTAAATGAGGTTGCTTATCGGTCAATATTTGTCATGAAGAAAACGCAACATGACTGTAAGAGTTGTGGAAAGCTTGCTTTGTAACCCAAGTGAGCCCAAGTAATGTCCTAATAGAGATGAACCAAGTTTACAAGCATCACTTGAAAATAGAAATGAAAGGGACATAAGTCACGTTTAATAACAGGGATTGGCAATTGCAGCTCCATTGCTGCCTTGAGGTTATTTTGATTCGCGGGGTCTGAGGAATCCATTCCGAGACGCGGCGGCGCCCGTCCATTTCAAGCACGCGCTTCACGTCCGGGCCGCGGAAATCGCCGACGAAACGGATTGAATTCCAGGAACCTGGAAACGGCCATTACACCGGTCAAGCAGGCTCGGCCGGGCGGGGCGGGGGCGGGCGGGAGGGCCTTTCAATAGACTTCGAGCGAGGGAGGTGTGGGCGGGGGAAGGGGCTGGGCTGAACAGAACGGCAGCAGAGCTGGGACAGGACGTGCGACACTCGATTCTACCTGCCTCTGCCTTCGCAAGCAGATCCACACCAGCCGAAGGGCTTTGAGCTCTGGGAGATGCTTTGCAAGGATCTGAAAGAACATTATTTGGCGAGTGATAAAATTCTAGTCTGTCTGTATTTTCCAATTCATTTCCCCAAAATTCTGAAAAATACTTAATCGCAATGGTTAGAGAACAAAGTAAATAGTAGATTCAGAATGAGGTACGCCAAAAATAATACTAAAATTCCATTAATATCTTCCTCGGCCTGTGATGCCTAATATAAGTGTTAGTCTAGGAATCATTACTTTCGCGCGTGATATAAGTCACGTGGTATTAAAAGATTGAGTAAGTTTCTTGAATGCGTAATTTTTGAAGTAGGAAAAAACTCCACATATTTTAATTTGTGAAACAATAGTGTGGACAGAGTTCCAGTAATCCTATCCCAATTGCTAACATACACATGCCGTTAAATTTGAATCTAACTAATAAGTTTATCTGCACACTTTTAAAAGTCTGCAAAGTTATTAACTTTACCTTACAGGCCAGTGATTGTCTGCCTTCCAGATTTCCAGTCCCATTAATATATTTTATTCTTTTGCTGTCACCGTACTTATAGATGATATGTGTTGAATCGAATTAAAAAATTCAAGGCTAGATTTTGCTGGTAAAATCCGTTTCGAGGATACGAAAAAGGGAATTTAAATACGAAAGCGAAGGCTTTATATTTGAATGGATTTGTGGATAAGTGTTTTTCACACGTGTAGCTCTAGATCCGTACAAGATTTTGAGCTCTAACGGTGTACACATATTAGTAGTGAAGTATCAGGGCTAATTCGAGGATATTTTATTTTGATGCTGGTGGCGAGGAGATACACCCAATTTTTAACCAAAAGCAGTGCAAAAATCTGTCAAACTGAAACTTAAGCTTACATTTCCTGAACAGGGGATATGTAAAAAAGGCATTAATCAAAAAAGGGACATAAACTAAAACACACCCAATGAATTATGAGGCCGAGAATGACAATTTTCCGAATACCATAAGATATGTAACAAACAGAGTAAACTTTTGAAAATTTCTAACCAAATATAATTCTTAGACAATGCTCTCTTATAAGCAAGCGCATGAACTTGAAACGCGTAGTTGTATAAAAATAAAATGATAAATCTGTAAAAGTGAACTCGTAAATTCATTATATTATGATTAATGTTACACTTTTACAGTATTTCCCACAAATCCACATTTTTAATGAAATGAAATCGGTGTGAATGGACAAACTAGACGGACGCAAAAAATTTAAAACATATTTAAAACAGAAGATATATTTTAAATTTTTAATAGCTCAAAGTTGTTCGCGAGTGACGGTTTGACGATTTCTGTTTTAAATTAAAAATGAAAAAGTAAAATTTGCTAGTTATACCTAGTCTACAGTAGCAGTAAAAGTAATATCACTTCTGCGGCATTCGTCATCACCAAACACATGAGTGGAATAAATAGGAAAGTATGCTACTTTGTAAATGGAAATTAGAAAAAACTTTGAAATTATACGAAATTACCCGTTATAATTATTTGAAATTATACGTTAGCAATGACAATGGGATCAGCCTATGTGGGGGGTGATTTAGCCTCGCCGGGTACCACTGCAATAAATATCCTACCCCTTTTGGCATTTGAACACAATTGAGGCACTCGAGTGTAAGAGATGACTTCTGATATTTGGCGACATTACGATTAGTGATTTATTATACATATCTTGTGAATGATATGCAAAAGCTCTATATCGCATTAGCTTTAGTGTTCAGAAAAATGACAATGTAAATGCATTCATTCAGTAAGTGCAGCCCACTCCATGAAGTTAATGCGTTCATAAGATTTTTCTGTGTAACATGAAACGTCAGTTATCATTTGCATCCGAACCC